GCTCAGTTCTGTAGCTGAAACGTCATATAAGTTCAGTTCTACAGCTGAAACGTCATATAAGCTCAGTTCTACAGCTGAAACGTCATATAAGCTCAGTTCTACAGCTGAAATGTCATATGAGTTCAGTTCTACAGCTGAAACGTCATATAAGTTCAGTTCTACAGCTGAAATGTCATATAAGCTCAGTTCTACAGCTGAAATGTCATATGAGTTCAGTTCTACAGCTGAAACGTCATATAAGCTCAGTTCTACAGCTGAAACGTCATATAAGCTCAGTTCTGTAGCTAAAACGTCATATAAGCTCAGTTCTACAGCTGAAATGTCATATAAGTTCAGTTCTGTAGCTGAAACGTCATATAAGTTCAGTTCTACAGCTGAAACGTCATATAAGTTCAGTTCTACAGCTGAAATGTCACATAATCTGCTAACAAAATGTCACCCAGAAAATCTGAAATTTTATATCAAGTTGCAAACTGTTTCCTAGTTAAACAGACTGAATATTAAAAGCAAGATAAGACAAATAAATCCGTGAAGAAAAAGAATCAAACCGTGAATGTTTATATCTCCAAAGTTCCATTTTTTTGTTCCGAGCTTGCGTGTGATTAATTTCTTTATATATATATATATATATATACCTAACAGATAATTACATCATTTCTGGACCATCTGCTAAGATCGGTCTGCTTTGGAGCCCATAAGTGGGCACTGAGATTGGATTGCAAAAATGGCAGCCAGTCCGTAGTAATCAGAATTCTGTAAGTTGATTACACACAACAGACCTGAATCTGACGGCAAGTTTAGACTAAGCGAGCTGTTTTCGACACGAGACAGGGATTTAAGTTGAAGCATGCCCATCTCTGATCATTAGAAGGGATCGGTGCGTTCATTGATATATATATATATATATATATATATAGATCATTGTATGAGGTAAATTGTATTTCATTTCTGCGTTTCGTTGATCCAATGTTTAACAATTTACCTGAAACAATGTATAGATCATCTTTTCTATGTAGTAGACACATAGCTGGGGGGGGGGCGTAGTACCCCCCTCGTGTACTTGTACTACACCCCCTACACGAAACGTTTCCATGACAGATTTACACTGTTTATTAATATTATTCCCTTTTCACTCCCCTGGCGTGGCCTGATGGTTAGGCACTCGAACTGCAATCTGAGGGTCGAGGGGTCGGATCCTGTCCCCGAACATGCTCGCCCTTTTAGCTGTGGGGGCGTTATAATGTGACAGTTAATGCCACTGTTCGTTGATAAAAAGTAGATCAAGAGTTGGCGGTGGGTGATCTAATCTGTCACTTCAAAAATAAACACGGAGATAGCCCATGTAAAATTCAAAACAGATAATCCTTTTTTCAGTACACATTCTTAACGTTACGTGATCTCTTTCACATTGGTATTTACACTTCATCGCCGCAATTCCCGGATGTTGACACAACATCTCAAGATGCTTAGAGGTGAAGTTTGTTTATTCAGGCCGTAAAAGATGACAGTTATTATACATGCTTAGAAATGAGTCTCGTTCTTATGAAAGAAATAACATCCTATGTGTGTGAAAAAACATCTTATTATATCTTATAGAAAATAACAAGAAACAACTGTTCACTAACAGTAAAAGGAGATGCGCAGTCTAGCTATGAACATGTCTGTTTGTGTTAGTGTAGTACAGTTCACTCGTAACAGTAAAAGTAGATGCGCAGTCTAGCTATGAACATGTCTGTTTGTGTTAGTGTAGTACAATTCACTCGTAACAGTAAAAGGAGATGCGCAGTCTAGCTATGAACATGTCTGTTTGTGTTAGTGTAGTACAGTTCACTCTTAACAGTAAAAGGAGATGCGCAGTCTAGCTATGAACATGTCTGTTTGTGTTAGTGTAGTACAGTTCACTCGTAACAGTAAAAGGAGATGCGCAGTCTAGCTATGAACATGTCTGTTTGTGTTAGTGTAGTACAGTTCACTCGTACAATAATTCTCAAACAAACAATTGATTGAACATTAAAAAGATAGTGCCACTATACAAATGGACAAATTTATTAATTGTTTAAAATTGTTATATCATTGTCTGTAGAGTAGCAAGGCAGGACCCATCCCTGTTGTGGCTGGAAAAACACAGATACGTGTACAAATGGGTATGAGTTAGGAGTTTTCTCCCTGCATACGTTATTTGTAATAGTTGGTGACGTATACAGTCTTAGATCGTAATATTCCACACTTAGACTCATTATCTTATTTGAAATTGTGGTATAAATATAATTATTTCTGTTTCTGTCTTTTGCAGACGTGCAGAGAAACTCCCCCATCAATCACTTTGAACACAAACACGTCTTAAACATACACACAGTTATAAACTATTCTTTATTGAATATTTCCGGAATATTCGAAAACTTTCCACTTTATCGGTGAGCAGGAATAACATGCAACGTCACTGTAAATGGATTATTGTATAATTTCAAAACAAGGCCAGTCGTCCTGTTCGAACAAGAGTGTACACTGTATACAATCTTAATGGTGTGTTCAATTATTATAAATAGGACAATAAATTTAAGTTGTTTTTATTTCTTCCTTTCTTATACACCAACTTCGTGACCGTAAAATAATAAAACGTTTTTAAACTGCATGGACGTTTGAATTTCCACAATTTAAATAAAAAATATGATACATTCTGGTTTCTATTTTTAATGAAATTTTATTTTGTTTCCTACAAAAATAAAAACACGCAGCTAAATTTAACAGTGAGGGCTTAGCTAACTTACACAAAGACATATCGAATAATTTCAGTAGAAAAGTGTAAAGATAGCTGCCAAGATCCGAATTTGATGTGTTTGAATTTTATGCACAAAGCTACACAATGGGCTATCTGTGCTCTGCCCACCACGGGTATCGAAACCCGGTTTCTAGCGTTGTAAGTCTGTAAACATACCGCTGTGCCACTGGAGGGCGCCAAGATCCGAAACCTGCGGATTAAGAATTAACAACGATGAAGACTCCAAGAACAGTCTATAAATTTTTAAATTATCAAATTCAGCAAAAATTTAATTATTTTTAGTAACTATATAACACATTTCCATGGTTTATTATTATTATTTTTTTCGTATATATTTTAAATTATTGTTAAGATAATTTTATCGGTCATCTGGGTTGGGTATTCGTCATTTATATTTGTAATAAAAATGCAAGTATTTAATTAGTAAAGTATATAACAAAATGATACCAATCTTATTTAAACAAGATCTCTCTCTCTCTCTCTATATATATATATATAATAAAAACCTCAATAATTCTAATGTTCAGTTTGTAGGTAATCCCCATAAGGTGACGCTTTTGTCCGCACTGGTGGTAAGTATTGAAAAGTCAGTGGGATGCCACCGTGCTTGGATTATCTTGTCTTTGTGCTCTGCCACCACGATCCCTGGGATTGGCTGGGAAAGGTCACCTGAGGATTAGACAAGAACTGAAAAATTAAACTCAAGAAATATATCTGGAGACAATAAAAATTATAAACGAAGAATTAGTAATTAACAGTTTATAGTCAAGAGCAAAATACATGTTTTTTTGTTTATGTTTTTAGACTGTGAAACTAAAGCACTGTTATTTGGCATAGAGACTGAAAATACGAACTTATTCAAATTTGTTCCGTGACAAAGTCAGTTTTTCGAAAAAATACAATAAATAAATCTTACTGTGTAAGTCTGATAAAACTACTTTATGGTCGTATGACCCAGTAAGCAAGTATTAAACAAATATTACTGTGTAAGTCTGATAAAACCACTTAATGATCGCAAGATCCTATAACCATTACAGGATAAGACTTATTTACTGACTTTATCAGACTTTTGTTTATAGGAGGATCTTACGATCATTAAGTACACAGGATAAGACTTATTTACTAAGTCTGATAAAACCACTTAATGATCGTAAGATCCTCCTATAAACAAGTAGTAAATAAGTCTTATCCTGTAAGTCTGATAAAACCTTGTTTATAGGAGGATCTTACGATCATTAAGTGTAGTAAATAAGTCTTATCCTGTAAGTCTGATAAAACCACTTAATGATCGTAAGATCCTCCTATAAACAAGCAGTAAATAAGTCTTATCCTGTAAGTATGATAAAACCACTTAATGATCGTAAGATCCTCCTATTAACAAGTAGTAAATAAGTCTTATCCTGAAGTCTGATAAAACCACTTAATGATCGTAAAATACAGTAAGGAAACATTAAATAAATCTTACCCTGTAAGTCTGATAAGATTACTTTATGATCATAAGATCCAGTAAGCAGATAGTGAGCCTTAGGAGAGAAGCGAATAGTTCGAATTTCAGCATCATGAGGCTGGAAACACTGAATTATCTTGCAGCCTGTGATGTCATACAACATGCACGTGGAGTCCTCATGACCAGAGACAAGCAGCCGGCCTGATGGATCAACGCACACTGCAGCCACTGAACTTCCTGTAAAGTAAATTCCTTCGTGTTTTAAAGTTTATAATACGCTTGCGAAGCTTTCAGTATCGTTGGTTTAGATATGTCTGAGCTTGTATTTCTGTAGAAATGATGGAATTCGTATATCCCATAGAAACATGTCATAGCAGAGATTACCAGTTGAATGTTCTTTCTCGTGTAAAAAACTTCTTTAAAATATGATGTCGTATAAATCAGTAATCTTTTATAAAAAGTACGTAACGTCTTTCTTTGTGCTAAAAACGAACACTTCGAAACACGCAGAGTCGAAGTTAGAATGATTATTTAATTAATACTTTTTATAAAAATACTTAGCTTCCTGTATATCTAAAATTCGTTGAACAATATATATATATAATATTCATAGTAACATAAAATAACTGCCCCCCCCCAGTGGCACAGCCGTATGTCTGCGGACTTACAACGCTAGAAACCGAGTTTCGATACTAGTGGTGAGCAGAGCACAGATAGTCCATTGTGTAGCTTTGTGCTTAACTTCAAACAAACATAGAATAAATATTAGAATCGAATATTATTATAGTTTTAAATGCTTCGCCCCCAGTGGCTCAGCGGTAAGTCCGTGGGCTTATAACCCTAAACATCGGGTTTCAATACCCGTGGCGAGCACAGTACAGATAGCTCATTCAGTATCTTTAGGCTTAATAACAAAGAAATAACATTTATTGCTAGAACTCGTCAAACTCTGTGTTGATTTATAGATTTAACATATTACAAAATGCAGTTCAAACTACTGTACGCAAAGCATTTTAATTTATATTAATTTGTTTAACAATAATGCTATTTTATAAGTTACTGTTAAAGATCACGTTTAATTAATTCTCCCAACTATAGAGTGAATTATCTTACTTGTAAGTCGCCATTATAGTTAGTTTGTTTGGTTGGTTATTTTGCTGAATCTCGCAGAAAGCTACGCGATGGCTATTTGTGCTAGACGTACCTAATTTGACAAATGATAGATTACAGGAAAAACAGCTCATCAACAGCACCCATCCCAAATCTTGGGCTACTCTAATCGAATATTGACCGAAACATTATAACACCCCTACGGTTGAAAGAACGAGAATGTTCGGTAATAAATTCGTACCCGCGACCCGCAACTTGGGAGTCGAGCGCCCTAACTACCAGGGCATGTCACGTGCGGCTTAAATTTTTTTTGGCAGCGAAAGGGTTAAAAGTCATGAAATGTTTGAAAATAACGGTAATTTTATTTGCAGAATTATGTAATAATATACGTTGTTGGGATTACACTCTATTATAATTTTTTTTTCCTAATTTTATACTGAAAAATGAAATAATTGACAGGATCTGCAACGAAATATTGTAAAATAACATCAAAAGTTACCGAAGTGTTCTCACTTTGCGAAGCGTTAAAAGTCACTATGATGTTGTGTAAAATTCCCTCACCTGGTCCAGAACCAGAAGCTGGTGGGGCGGATATGACGTTAACACAGCCTCTTGAGCGTAGATCCCAAAACCGAATCGTCCTGTCGTGCGATCCGCTAACAAAAGTGGCTCCACCCCAGGTGTAAAGGGAAAGAATTGTGCCTAGGAGTAATCGAAGATTACAAAAGTGCTTTAATAATCAAAGTAGCCAACTAATTACTTACCCTTCCATAGTAACACACAAACAAATAGAAAAACAAAGACAATGATGAATTTACAATTTGGATAAAGTTACAGCTGGCAAATGCAAAAAACAACAATAATAACAAATATATAAAGATAAGAACGAGAGTTAGGCTTAATCTAACTCACACTTTAACCTTTTATTTAACGACATCATAGTGAGTTAGGCTTAATCTAACTCACACTTTGACCTTTTATTTAACGACATCATAGTGAGTTAGGCTTAATCTAACTCGCACTTTAACCTTTTATTTAACGACATCATAGTGAGTTAGGCTTAATCTAACTCGTACTTTAACCTTTTATTTAACGACATCATAGTGAGTTAGGCTTAATCTAACTCGTACTTTAACCTTTTATTGATTAATCCTATAAAATGAAAGACTATTTAGTAATAGTTTTACAATATATTTTAACCTTTTATTGATTAATCCTATAAAATGTAAGCCTATTTAGTAATAGTTTTATAATATATTTTAATATTTTATTGATTAATCTCACAAAGTGTAGACCTATCTAATATTAGCTTTATAACACATATTTAATCATTTTGATTAACACTTCAAAATGTAGGTATATTCAATAAGATTTATAACAGCTTTTCTGATCTTTTTTTGACTGACATTATAAAATATAAGCCTAATTATAGTTTTACAATACATTTTAGGCTTACGTTGAGTATCAAACGATGCTCATACATTTTGTTATTGTTTTTTTTTTCACGAAAGGTAATGAAAATTACTCAAACAGCCTAAAGATCACTCGGCAAACCGCTCGAGGTTTTCTGTCGCACCTAGCAAAAACACTTTCGGATGTAATTAGAAATCATGTTTGTACTAATTTCGATCGCGTGACTCATTTGTCAAAGCTAACACTAACTATGTGACTATCAATAAAATAGTGTCATAGTGCAGTTGATAACTAGAAAGACTGAATTTAAATCTACAACAAGCAATAGTGTTTTTTGAAATAAAATATGTACACTCTTGTTTTATATTGTTGTTGTTGTTTTTGCGCAAAGCTACACTATAGGCTATCTACGCTTTCTCCAAAATTGCTTTCAATAAACGAAATAAGCAATACTACATTGCTACAAAAACTAGAGTAATATTACCTTAAACAATAATTAACGAGAAGGATACGTATTACTGATAAAGTGTTGTTTACGAAAGAGGTTGTGGATACTTTCGTAAAGAGTTTGAAATAATTGTTTATTTCTATGACAAAAATATATTTTAGTAGGTGAAACATGGTTACAGCATAACAGTTGTATTGAAAATGTTGAAGAATGTAGCATTTACAAAGTTTACCGGATCTATTTCTCTGCGTGATAATACATGTTTTTAGCTGGTGGCAAATCACCAAAACCCATCAAATTGATGTGTATTCGTTCCTACTATTACATCCAAGCGTATCTTTGTTAGGTATACGTAAAAGCTCGAACGTATGTGTCTGTTTTTGTAGCAAAGCTACATCAGGCTATCTGCTGTGTCCACCGAGGGGAATCGAGCCCCTAATTTTAGCGTTGTTAAATTCGAAGACTTAACGCTGTCCCAACAGGGGGACTACCTCCAGCGATAATGCGACTACCAAAAATATGTGATAGTAGCGCCATCTATCAAACTATTTTAACATTTGTGTTAAAATTGAATACTGTGAAAATTTATAACAAAAGATGAAGTTCTGCTCGTTTTAGGAAAGACGTAAGTTTTCAATCGTATCTTAGAAACACACCAGAATGCCCAGTTAAAGTCTGAAAGGCTATCCCTGTCTCGCAGTCAGTTATAAAGATTTTATTATCGATGGATCCACCACTGATAAGCAAACTGGACCGATTACTTAAGTCATCCATGAAACACAGGTCTCGAACAGTTCCGCTGTGCATCGTGAGCTCTGCAGCGCCACCTATAAGTGAACAACACAATTAGTTTAAAGGATACTTCAGTTTTCATGTTACTCAAGTTTAACGTAAAGGAACTTTAAGTAATTAACACAGAAATATTAGATTAACTCATGAACGTACTTGGAATGATTCAAATCTCATAACAATACTCTATAAAACAGGAAATTCAGAAAGTATTGTTCAGTAGCTTATCCAGGAATCACTGAAACATGTTATGACCAGTAATAACAACAATGTAAATTCTTAATAATCTTATTATAAATACAGTAGACGGCTTTGAGTAAATTCACTACATCACCCAACTGCTAAAAACGAATCTAAAAAAACCTGCTAAAGGAAATTAATTAATCCCATTTTAATTAAAACTCTAAAACCTTGCCTTAAAGAGTTAATCAATGAAATCCATGGACGTTCATGGTCAAACGTATTCATGGACGTAACAAACGTATTCATTCACATGGAAGCGTCATATGAAGGAAATCTACAGAAGAACACTAGAACTCTTGCAGGAATGATTATACTAGAATGTACTAATGTCATAGGATTTCCATGGTAACACGCTATTGTTACTAACGTAGAAATCCCATGGTAACACACTATTGTTACGATTGTAGACATCCCGTGGTAACACGCTATTATTACTAATGTAGAGATCCAATGGTAACACACTATTGTTACTACTGTAGAGATCCAATGGTAACACGCTATTGTTACTACTGTAGAGATCCAATGGTAACACGCTATTGTTACTACTGTAGAGATCCAATGGTAACACACTATTGTTACTACTGTAGAGATCCAATGGTAACACACTGTTGTTACTACTGTAGAGATCCAATGGTAACACGCTATTGTTACTACTGTAGAGATACAATGGTAACACGCTATTGTTACTACTGTAGAGATCCAATGGTAACACGCTATTGTTACTACTGTAGAGATCCAATGGTAACACGCTATTGTTACTACTGTAGAGATACAATGGTAACACGCTATTGTTACTACTGTAGACATCCCGTGGTAACACGCTATTATTACTAATGTAGAGATCCAATGGTAACACACTATTGTTACTACTGTAGAGATCCAATGGTAACACGCTATTGTTACTACTGTAGAGATCCAATGGTAACACCCTATTGTTGCTATTGTAGAGATCCAATGGTAACACACTATTGTTACTATTGTAGAGATCCAATGGTAACACACTGTTGTTACTATCGTAGAAATCCAATGGTAACACACTATTGTTACGATTGTAGACATCCCGTGGTAACACGCTATTATTACTAATGTAGAGATCCAATGGTAACACACTATTGTTACTACTGTAGAAATCCAATGGTAACACACTATTGTTACTGATGTAGAGATCCAATGGTAACACACTATTGTTACTATTGTAGAGATCCAATGGTAACACACTATTGTTACTATTGTAGAGATCCAATGGTAACACACTATTGTTACTATTGTAGAAATCCAATGGTAACACACTATTGTTACTATTGTAGAGATCCAATGGTAACACACTATTGTTACTATTGTAGAGATCCAATGGTAACACACTATTGTTACTGATGTAGAGATCCAATGGTAACACACTATTGTTACTATTGCAGAGATCCAATTGTAACACACTATTGTTACTATTGTAGAGATCCAATGGTAACACACTATTGTTACTATTGTAGAGATCCAATGGTAACACACTATTGTTACTATTGTAGAGATCCAATGGTAACACACTATTGTTACTATTGTAGAGATCCAATGGCAACACACTATTGTTACTATTGTAGAGATCCAATGGTAACACACTCTTGTTACTACTGTAGAGATCCAATGGTAACACACTATTGTTACTATTGTAGAGATCCAATGGTAACACACTATTGTTACTGATGTAGAGATCCAATGGTAACACACTATTGTTACTATTGTAGAGATCCAATGGTAACACACTATTATTACTATTGTAGAGATCCAATGGTAACACACTAATTTCCCTTCTAGAAGTAATGTAATAAAATACGCTAGAGTCTCTGATAACAGGATTTCATAGAAACAAACAAACAAAAAGATGAAACATACTAATACTCCTGCTAAAGGTTAGCACCATTACCCAATGAAATCTATAGTAACGTACCCAGACGAAATACAATAACACCGAAACAATTAAAGTATGAACTATTACAGCAAATCCTAGTACCTACATACCTTCAATACTACAGTAAATCCCAGTACCTTACTTACCTTCAATATTACAGTAAATCCTAGTACCTTACTTACCTTCAATATTACAGCTTTTAGGGTTAAATCTCATCAACTTGATTGACTTATCATTGGAACCTGTTGCCAAAAGATCGCCAGTTCCATTCCATGCCAGACAATAGATGGAGCCCTTGTGATGTTTCATTTTCTCCATTAAGATAGTTGGTTTGCGGGTCTCGTACTTTTCACTGTAGATGAGAGAAAACTGAGCTATAAGAGAGCAACTAAACCTCAAGAGGGAAATAGAAGCTTCAAATTAGAAAACTGGAGCTTCGAGAGTGAAAACTCGTCTTCAAGAAGTAAACTGGACTTCAATAGAGAAAATTGGAACTTCAAGAGAGAAACTGAGCTTCAATAATGGAAAGTGGACTTCATGAAAAAAAACATGCCTTCAAAAAAGAAATCTGGATATTCGCCAGAAGAAATTTACTTTTTCAGTACCAGTTTGAGAGAGGAATTACTTGGTAATTACTTCAAATTTTTTTGTTTGTTATGGATTTCGTGCAAAGCTATACGAGGACGATCTGCCTTAGCTGTCCCTAATTTAGTGGTGAAAGACTAGAGGGAAGGCAGCTAGTCATCGCCACCCACCACCAACTCTAGGGATTGACCGTCACATTATAATTTCTTCACGGCTGAAAGGGTGAGCATGTTTGGTGGAACAAAGATTCGAACCCGCGACCATTTTGCATAGAATATTTCCAAATATACATTTGTTTGATTTCGATCTATGTTCCCCCGCGTGAAAACTGTAAAATAGCGACGTCTGGTGTTAATAAAAAATTGTGTACCAATTTCCATATTAGTAATATTTATGTTTTTGTTTATTATGGAGAAACACAAACCTCAGTTCATTCAGTCTTGGATATGCACATATTCGTAATGATTTGGAATTAGCTCCACTTGCATAGAAACGTCCACTCGGGTGGAACTCGGCAGTTCTGATGACTTGTCCGTCTTCAAGTCTAGTGACTGGAATAAGCTTCGCGTTTCGTCCAGAGGCCTTGAACCGGTTCTGTTCTTGACCATGCTGAAAAGAAATACAGGAATGACTTCATGATGACGAGGAACCCACTTGAAGTATATATATACATATATATATGTAGTAGAGACGGCTGATATGAGAATTAAAAACTTTTATTGAAAAACACAATACAAGAAACAACTTTTGACCTCCTTCGGTCATCATCAGGTTAAGCATTAGATTTGAAAAAGTGACCGTTACTGATCACGAATTGTGGAGACAACAGTAACGATTATAGGGGGCGTTGTAAATAATTAATATAGCATATAATAGATTAAATATTTGCAGCGCCCCCTACAATCTGACACATATCATTACTGTGATCAATAGCGGTCACTTTTTCAAATCTCATTTTTAACCTGATGATGACCTAAGGAGGTCGAAACGTTGTTACTTGTTTTGTGTTTATAAATAAAAGTAATGACTTGCAATGAAGCTGGTCTACAGAAAAATTGAAATTCCAGAATGTTCGTAGGTATCGAAACCCAATTTTAGTGTTATAAGTCCCCAGCCTTACAGCTGAGCCACTGGAAGGGACAACATCTCTTTAACTTCTCGTTAACTTCCTAACGAACAAATATATGTCACTGTCAAATGAAAAATTGTCTAATCTGTTTTAAAACTCGCCAATCGTGGACAACAACTACATCAAATAAACAGTTCCAACTTCGTGTATATGTTTATTTCTCTTCAAACCTAATGTTACACGAGTTATTTTCATGTTAGGAATTTTCTTAGAAATTTTTATCCAGGAAAAGTGAACAATTACCGAAACAACATACACTTCTCTGGAATAAATTTGAATTCTTTGTCAATAAGAGTATGTATTTTACCACTTCTAGAACTGTATTTTTGTCGCCAGTCAATGAGTGGTTTGGTTATTTCCAAAATTCCAATAAAGCTACTTAAGAGCTTCAGCGTTATAGCCTTCCCTAATTTTTAGGATTAAGACGATCGATTCACAATCTGTAAATCGCGAGTTCGGATCCCCGTCATCGAACATGCTCGTTCTTTTAGCCTTAATACCATTATAATGTGATGGTCAATCCCACTATTCGTTGATAAAAGAGATCCCAAGAATTGAGGGTGGATGGTGTTGACTAGCTGCCTTCCCTCTTGCCTATCACTGCTAAATTAGGGACGGCTAGCGTAGATAGCCCTCGAGTAGCTTTGCGCGAAGTTCAAAACAAACTAAGCCTAATTTTAAACTGATAGATTAGATGAAAAGCAGCTGTTCAATACCAACGCTTGGGCTGCTGTAATCGAACAGTGAGATTTGATCGTTACTTTAATAAACGCGCCTACAGCTCCAAAATACGGAGCGCGTTTTTACGCCAATAGGACGCGAACCATGGACCCTAATATTCAAGATCAGATACGCTAATAGTGAGCGCGTGGAGATTGCTATTTGTAATCGGTAATTAGAAATTACGAGCTATGCTCTATGAATTTAGTTTTCTTATAAATACATAGGTGGCAGTCTTAAGTTTTAAAAATTCATGTGTAATACATTTTATGTACACACCACCTAGCCTTTCTTACTTCTGATGATGACATCAGTCACTTTCTAGCCACGTGACTGTCACAAAATATCTAAGTCAAATAATAATCTGCTTCTTGTCACATATTAACCCTTAACAGACACGACAGCTGCGCAGCTCAGTCTAGCTTTCAGCCATTATTTTGTCTGGTTGACCTTAAACAGTCGGGACGTGACCACGAAAGTGAAAGTCTATAAAGTAATAACTTCCTCCTCGCGATCATCATGTTCATGGCCACGTGACAGCCTAACAACAGCTGTTGTAAGGCGATCTGCTACCACACGAGAGGCGCTAGAACGACTCTTCATTGTCACTGTACAGTGATACATCTATAAAATCGACAAAAAATGTCTGGGAATATTTCAGTGTGTCAATTAAGTTTTATAATAACCACTGACAGAAAGAAGGAAACAAAACAAGTGTTTCTTCCTGGTATAAATTAACATCTCCAGGGGTTCTATATTTAATAACGCTAGAAAGACATACTTTAAAGTTTCACACCATTAACACGATTAACAAACAGAGGTGAAGTTGCTCTCTCTATTTCATCTTTGTGTGTTAAAAAAATTAAGTGTTTGTTTGAAATTAAGCACAAAGCTATGTGTGCTCTGCCTACCACAGGTATCGAAACCAGATTTCTAGCGTTGTAAGTCCGCAGACATACAGACGTTCCTAGTTAATCAGTTTCTAATATTAATAAAACAGGTTTGTTATTCAACATCATTTTTTTCTCTTGATCAATTTTATTTATTGTAATCCTTAAAATGAATTATTAAAGACTCGGCATTGCCAGGTGATTAGGGCGCTCGACTCGCAATCTGAGGGAGTCGGGTTCGAATCTCACTCACACCAAACGTGTTCCTTGGTAAAAGAGTATCCCAAGAGTGGGTGGTGATGACTAGCTGCCTTCCCTCTAGTCTTTACACCGCTAAATTAGGCCTCATAGTTTTTCTTTAAAGAAAGATCTGAACCGCAAAGTGAATTATTATATTAGTAAGAGCTTAACATTTAAGTATGATACACAATTAGGAACATTAGAAAAAATAATAAAAAAAAATTAAAATATTACGTTCACGATGAACATTATTATCATATTAAAATATGCAGTGAGTCAGCGATAAGTTTGTGGATTTCAACACTTAAATCCAGGGTTCGATTCTACGTGGTGGACAGAGCACATATAACGTATTGTGTAGCTTTGGGGCCAAAGAAATAATATTGCTCTTTAGTGCTGCCATCTATTAGTATTTTTATAAGTATATGATCCATTAATTATACTTGTCAATACGACATTAGTGCTAGGCCTATTATATTTTTAACATTCGATTTTTATTCAGTTGAAGTACTATTTACACATTCTTCTTCTTATTGAAAAACACTAAGCCTAAATTGTGTTTGTGTGTGTGTGTTATAACAGTGAAAGTCAATCCCGCTTGGCGGTGAATAGTACGTACACACAAGCGGAGAGCACTGCTAATTGGTTGTTCTCCTTCTGATCAACAGTTCTAGAAATATACTATGCCTGAAAAGGTTTTCGACCTGGCCGATGGGCTCATATGTAACATAAGGTGTCGCTTGGGTTTAAAATACCGTTACTACAATCTTGATGTTACCATAGTGACGTGTTCTAGTAAATCTTGTTCTTGGACTGTTAATCAATAAGTAGTGTCATGTATAGAAAAGAACCGGGCATAGCTGATTGTTTGGTGTGCTCGAGCTATAAATCAAAGGATTCATGGTTCGTGTCGTGTCGTCGCAAAAAGAAAAATACTAATGATAAAAGGAAAAGTGCTCTGCGTTTTGGAGTCGTGAATGCGTTACTAGGGTGACAACAAAATTACATTATTCGTTCAAACAAAATTTGCCATATAATCGGCGGCGGATGTTGTTGACTAGCAATCGGTGGGTGTTGTTGACTAGCAATCGGTGGGTGTTGTTGACTAGCTATCGGTGGATTTTGTTGAATAGCTATCAGTGGATTTTGTTGACTAGCTATCGGTGGATGTTGTTGACTAGTTATCGGCGGGTGTTGTTGACTAGCTATCGGTGGATGTTGTTGAATAGCTATCGGTGGATGTTGTTGACTAGCTATTGGTGGGTGTTGTAGACTAGTTATCGGTGGATGTTGTTGACTAGTTATCGGTGGATGTTGTTGACTAGCAATCGGTGGGTGTTGTTGACCAGCTATCGTGGATTTTGTTGAATAGCTATCGGTGTATATTTTTGACTAGCTATCGGTGGGTGTTGTAGACTAGTTATCGGTGGATGTTGTTGACTAGCTATTGGTGGGTGTTGTAGACTAGTTATCGGTGGATGTTGTTGACTAGCTATCGGTGGATTTTGTTGACTAGCTATCGGTGGGTGTTGTAGACTAGTTATCGGTGGATGTTGTTGACTAGTTATCGGTGGATGTTGTTGACTAGTTATCGGTGGATTTTGTTGACTAGCTATCGGTGGGTGTTGTTGACTAATTATCGGTGGATGTTGTTTACTAGTTATCGGTGGATGTTGTTGACTAGTTATCGGCGGATGTTGTTGACTAGCTATCGGTGGATGTTGATGACGAGTTATGGGTGGATGTTGTTGACTAGTTAGTTGACTAGCTATCTGTGGGTGTTGTTGACTAGCTATCGTTGGATGTTGTTGATTAGCTATCGGTGGATGTTGTTGACTAGCTATCGGTGGATGTTGTTGACTAGCTATCGTTCTGTGTTGTTGACTAGTTAGTTATCGGTGTTTGTTGTTGACTTGACCAGCTATCGGTGGATGTTGTTGACTAACTATCGGTGGATGTTGTTGACTAGCTATTGGTGGGTGTTGTTGACTAGCTATCAGTGGATGTTGTTGACTAGTTATCGGTGGATGTTGTTGACTAGCTATCAGTGGATGTTGTTGGCTAGTTATTGGTGGATGTTGTTAGGGGACGGCTATGCGTGAAGCTCCAAGATACAGAAATAAACAAATTTCTATAAAGTGTGATCATCTCAAAACTGACCTTGACCTTGAAAATCTTCATAGGAGTATGAATATATTAATATCAGAGAACATGAAAAGTAGTGCGGAGAACGACCTGCAACACCTTAAAATGACAAATACTATTAGAAAACCAAAGTTCAAGAGTTTATGTAAGCATTGCATACACTATAATAACTAAATACTTTAAATTTTGAGTCAAATACGGCGATCCTGTTACCATATTAAATTATCAAAAACTTATTTAAACGATTTGTTTAATCTGTTTTTTTTTTTTGATTAAATATTTCTTTCTTGTTTGTTATATTAAATGTTTTGGATAAGCATTTTTCTTTTCTTTTTCCATATTTACACCACTGTACCACGCACCATACAGCTAGATTTTGTAACGAATCGCGGCTGATTGCAGCGCTATCTCGCGAGAAAAGAAAGAAATAGAACGAAAACAATATTCGAGACAGTTGAGACTTGAAAAAAAAATCTTTCACAAAAGTTGCTCATTTTATAATGTTGAAATCTGACGACACGAAAATCTAAGGTTGAAATCTAATAATAACAGAGAATTTAGAGTTGTAATCTAACAACGACAGAAAATATAAAGTTCTAATCTAACAACAACAGAAAATATAGTTGTAATCTAACAAGGACAGAAAAGCTCGAGTTGTAATCTAATAACGACATAAAAGCTTAAGTTGTAATCTAATAACGACAGAAAATCTAAAATTGAAACCTAACAACGACAGAAAATATAAAGTTGTAATCTAACAACAACAGAAAATCTAAAGTTAATATTCAACAACGACAAGGAATGCTGAGTTGAAACCTAACGACGACAGAAAAATGTTTCCTTACTCGACGACGTTTTCATCAATTCCAGGAGTAGCCTAGTGGTTAGCGCGGGTCCAATGTTCTCACCATGGTTTCTCAAAATCACTCTTCGCGCTCTGGTGCCGCGGGTGCGTTATAGGAGTGACGGTCAAATCCGAATATTTGATTAGAATAGTTCAACAGTTGGCGGTGTGTGCTGTTGACTAGTTGCCTTTCTTCTAGTCTATCAGCTCAAAATTAGGGATGGCTAATGTATATATCCGAAACAAACAAAAAAGCCTTCATCGGACCTCAACCTGGAAGAATGAACCTAAATACATAACGTGACGTAGATAGCTTTAAATTACGCACAACAGGTGGCTCTTGTTACATTCATGATTTTTTTTTCCCTTGCATCGTTTCCAAGATGGTTACACAAGAAACTTTAAAAAAGAACAAAAATTAAAATAATTTACAAAATATTCAATTGATCAAAAGCCTTATTGTTTGTAACAGAAAGTGTTCTACTATTTTAATAATTTTGGCTACCACCAGGGGTTGATTATGTACCCAAACTTAACGTTGTTTCACGGTATAGTTCCGTTAAAAATGTCTTGTAATTTCTTATAATAAGAATTATAATTCACGTACACTCAATAAAAGTTCGGTGGATAAGAATAATGTAGTTGGTAATGCATGTCTGTCTGTTATCTTGGTAATACGAGGGTTAAGATAATACGTATAACAATAATCCAAACACAATTCCCCTCCCCCTTTCTATTAAAAACGAACTGGCGAGTAATATGATTGAACAAAATCAATTCTAATCTTGGTCTCGGTTTAAAACAAATACCTATTTTTAAATTCAACATTAAAATATGCTTGTTCACATCTAGTTAGTTTTTCTACATAACTTACAAGGTGTTTAAAAGTACTACTCCTCCTTTCAGAGCTGTAACTTCTCCTACAGGAATGTAGGGGACAAAGCTTTGGAGAGTGGGTGGTGGGTGAAGAACGATGCTCCATACGACTACGATCGTTGAGGGGTTGAAGAGATCGACCTGATCCAATACGAGACGTATGAAACTGCCGTCGAAAAATATCCGCCATATTGTACATCTTGTTCCCATGCCGTATTAGATGCAATCAAATAATTTAACACTTCTGCAGATAAACTGTTCTGATATAACTGGCTTCCTGAGCGATAACCATGAAAAACCTTTGATAGGACTGGCTTTCTGAGAGATAACCCAAGAAAGGTTCTAATAGAACTGGCTTACTGGGTGATAACTCGGGAAAAGTTCTGATAAGACTGGCTTCCTGAGCGATAACCATGAAAAACTTTTGATAGGACTGGCTTTCTGAGAGATAACCCAAGAAAAGTCCTAATAGGAGTGGCTTACTGGGTGATAACTCGGGAAAAGTTCTGATAAAACTAGCTTACTGGGTGATAACCCGGGAAAAGTTCTTATAAAACTAGCTTACTGGGTGATAACCCGGGAAAAGTTCTGATAAGACAGTCTTGCTGAGTGATACCCCAACAAAAGTTCTGATAAGACTGGCTTACTGAGTGATAACTCGGGAAAAGTTCTTATAAGACAGTCTTGCTGAGTGATACCCCAACAAAAGTTCTGATAAGACTGGCTTGCTGAGTGATACCCCAACAAAAGTTGTGATAAGACAGTCTTGCTGAGTGATACCCCAACAAGAGTTCTGATAAGACTGGCTTGCTGAGAGATAACCCGGGAAAAGTTCTTATAAGACAGTCTTGCTGAGAGATACTCCAACAAAAGTTGTGATAAGACAGTCTTGCTGAGAGATACCCCAACAAAAGTTGTGATAAGACAGTCTTGCTGAGTGATACCCCAACAAGAGTTCTGATAAGACTGGCTTGCTGAGTGATACCCCAACAAAAGTTGTGATAAGACAGTCTTGCTGAGAGATACCCCAACAAAAGTTCTGATAAGACTGGCTTGCTGAGAGATAACCCGGGAAAAGTTCTGATAAGACAGTCTTGCTGAGTGATACCCCAACAAAGGTTCTGATAAGACAGTCTTGCTGAGTGATACCCCAACAAAAGTTCTGATAAGACAGTCTTGCTGAGTGATACCCCAACAAAGGTTCTGATAAGACTGGCTTGCTGAGTGATACCCCAACAAAAGTTGTGATAAGACAGTCTTGCTGAGAGATACCCCAACAAAAGTTCTGATAAGACAGTCTTGCTGAGTGATAACCCGGGAAAAGTTCTGATAAGACAGTCTTGCTGAGTGATACTCCAACAAAAGTTCTGATAAGAATGGCTTCCGGAGAAATAACCATGTAAAAGGTTTGATAGGACTTGCTTTCTGAGCTATAGCCTGGAAAAGTTCTGAACGGACTAGCTTACTGGGTGATAACTTGGGAAAATATAACACCAGAGTGTTTTTAGTTACAATCAAATCTCTAAGGGCATATATCTGACAGAAAAAGTTTCTTGAAGTAAGAAAACAGTAGACTACAGCTTTATGTTTTGTCTTGTGTCTTCACCTATAGAAACTAAGCATCTAAATTTGTAAGATAAAAAGCAAGTCTACACAGTTAACTCACTGGTTAAAAGATCTTACAATAATAAATCTGTTCATCTCCATGACAGGTTTTTATAGCAGCAACATTCTCAACATCTTTTACGGTTTTCGACTGGAGGAAACAAAACCAAACACCTTGAAGTCACGTGATTTACCTGCCACAGTACTCCTGGTACCATGCTTCCTTACTCTAGAACCAGGTTATTACACATCACCATAACCTTATCTTTTCTTTCAGCCTTCACGAGCAGAACGGAGAGGACAAAGACTCCGATACACTTCACATGATTGTGGGGATGGTATTTGGTTGATAAATCATACAGGCAAGCTCAATTCTTCGCTTTGTTGAATCACGAAAAGCAGCATAACAACCAAATAGCATGTAGACGGCTGCGCGTACGTATATACAGATCGGTTCAGAAAACAGTGAAGTCATACTAACTGATTTATATAGTTTAGTGTTTTTCATCTAGGTATCAGTGGTTAAACACGAAGCTCCGATAAACTTTTGTTGAATTTCACGCAAAGCTACACGATGGCTATATGCGCTAACCGTTTTCAATTTAGCAGCGATGGACTATTGGGAAGGCAGGCTAGTCAATACCATCAATCGCCAAGTCATGGGCTACTCTTGTCAGATCGAATAGTGAGATTTGATCGTTACTCTTATAACGCGCCCACGGCCCCAAAATACGGAACACTATTTCTTTCCTCTTTTTCTTTTGCGGTAAAAGAACGCGAGCTGGAGTTTCTGATCCGTAGCCCGACACGCTAACCACTGTACTGAACTCAATTGCTATCGATACGAATGACCTACTTTCAACGCACGCTTATAATATCACGTGAGAACACAAACCTTCTTCGTGATCTTCCTGGTTATCACGATGGTGTTTGGCTAACGCGACAAACGAGTCCAGAAATCGTACTGCCCGCGTCGTTTGGCAGGAAGAAGAAATATTCCGGAAAGTTATGAACAGGACTTGTAGAAGCAAAGAGATCGGGTTTTGTAAACAAACATGAAAACACACATACACGTACAAATAGATAAACAAACATGAAAACATACATACACGTACAAATAGGTAAACAAACATGAAACACACATACACGTACAAATAGGTAAACAAACATGAAAACACACATACACGTACAAATAGGTAAACAAACATGAAAACACACATACACGTACAAATAGGTAAACAAACATGAAACACACATACACGTACAAATAGGTAAACAAACATGAAAACACACATACACGTACAAATAGGTAAACAAACATGAAACACACATACACGTACAATTAGGTAAACAAACATGGAACACACATACACGTACAGATAGGTAAACAAACATGAAACACACATACACGTACAAATAAGTATAGGGAATTACTGAGTTTGTTAATTTAGCCTAAGTAGGTAGTTGGAACGTCGGTGTGCATCTTGTGAGACTCTTGTGTATAGTAACATTATTTTAATACATTTTAATGATACTGACCAGCAGGGGGCATTATTAGCTGTTGGGAAATTCCGGGGCTCAGGAATGAATTTAAGTGGGAAACTTTCGGACTGTGAGAGCTTGATTTTTAACAGAAATACATCTCCATTTATTTTAATTGAGTTTGTTTATCTAAAACAAAAACAAAAAACGATTATGTAGTAGTTAAATGTTTTACTGTACGTTTTTAATCAAAACTAATCCTACAAGGAAGTGACCAGGACGGGCAGGAGCTACGTAGTACCAACTTACAGAGAAACACCAATGAATGAACACAGTCAGTTTACAGAGAAACACCAAGCAATGAACATTGTCAGTTTACAGAGAAACATCAATGAATGAACACAGTCAGTTTTCAGAAAAACACCAATCAATGAACATTGTCAGTTTACAGAGCAACACCAATCAATGAACACTGTCAGTTTACAGAAAAACATAAATTAATGAATAGTGTCAGTTAACAGAGAAACAATAATCAATGAACACAGTCAGTTTACAGAAAAACATAAATTAATGAATAGTGTCAGTTTACAGTGAAACACCAATCAATGAACACTGACAGTTTACACAGAAACACTAATCAATGAATAGTGTCAGTTTACAGAGAAACACCAATCAATGAACACTGTCAGTTTACAGAAAAACATAAATTAATGAATAGTGTCAGTTTACAGAAAAACATAAATTAATGAATAGTGTCAGTTTACAGTGAAACACCAATCAATGAACACTGACAGTTTACAGAGAAACGCCAATCAATGAACACTGTCAGTTTACAGAAAAACATAAATTAATGAACAGTGTCAGTTTACAGAGAAACAATAATCAATGAACACTGCCAGTTTACAGAGAAACACCAATCAATGAACACTGCTAGTTTACACAGAAACACCAATCAATGAACACTGCCAGTTTACACAGAAACACCAATCAATGAACATTGACAGTTTACAGAAAAACATAAATTAATGAATAGTGTCAGTTTACAGAGAAACACCAATCAATGAACACTGTCAGTTTACAGAGAAACACCAATCAATGAATAGTGTCAGTTTACAGAAAAACATAAATTAATGAATAGTGTCAGCTTACAGAGAAACACCAATCAATGAACACTGCCAATTTACAGAGAAACACCAGTTTAGGTGTTATACGAATTTCGTTATTTTCTCTGTGGTTCTGGTTTGAATCGTCAAGCCTATTATTATTATTGAAGTTTCGTAAACATGACCCTGTGGCTTGTCAAGATTGTCTCTGTTTTTAAATGGTCTATTGAACCATAGTAATTACCTTGTGGAGTTACGAGCCTGCCTGTGATTGGCTCAGCCATCACAGGTGATACCTCCTTCCAGGTCAACGTTGGTAATTTTCAAGAGTTCCACACCTGTCTGGAAACAGATGATGATGCATCCAGTCTCGTATCGTTTAACTTCATTTTCACTTCTCACCCTGTTCAGTTGCATTTGTTTTAATCTGTATTAATATTTGACATATATTTTCGTTTATATATCCTCTCGTTTCGTCCTTTAGCATAATAAAGAGAATTTAAAACTGCCTAGTGTCGACCTCTCCTCTTGTTATCACATAATATTTCATCCACCAAGTCTTCTAGCCTCCTGTATACATACGCCATTGTTCCCCTGAGCGAGTGAAACAACAAAGACAATATATAGGGAAGGTTTACTTAATATTTTGATTACTGTAGAGGAAGATGAAGGACAGAAAATTCTGACAGTAGGCTTAGTGTTTGGTTTAGTTGTTATGTTTAAGCGCAAAACTACGTAATTGACTATCTATTTCTGTACCCACTGCGTGTATCGAACCCTGATTCTATGCATTATAAGCCCTCAAGCTTACTGTTAATAAACCCCAGGAATTACAACAAAACGCATCCTCAAATACTCAAATCCAGTAAACTTCACAAGTTGAATAACTAGAAGAAGTTTAGTAAACTTTACAAGTTGAATAACTAGAAGAAGTTTAGTAAACTTCACAAGTTGAATAACTAGAAGAAGTTTAGTAAACTTCACAAGTTGAATAACTAGAAGAAGTTT